CTATGGAGACGTGAGCTATTCTTTTCCGGAGGAGATGAAACGCGGATCTGTTATTGGAAATATAGCCAATGATCTCGGGCTGGAGGCGAGCAGACTGTCCGCTCGTAAGGCCCGAATTGATACCGAAAGAAATCGAAAACGTTATTTGGACATTAATCTGAGTACCGGGGATTTGATTGTTGCGGAGAGGATTGATAGAGAAGGGCTTTGTGGAGAAAAGGTTTTATGCATATTAAAATTCGAATTGGTCCTAGAGAGTCCACTTGAGTTGCATACTATATCACTTCAAATCCAAGATATAAACGATAATTCACCCATATTTCCGAAGGATTTAATTAAGCTAGAAATCAGAGAATCAGCTGTGAAAGGAGCTCGCTATCGTGTAAAAGCAGCTCATGACGCGGATGTTGGACAAAACGCAGTGCAAAGCTACGTATTACAAAGGAATAATAATTTTGCTTTGGGTTTCCAAACGAATAATGCTGGTATTAAATACGGTGAGTTAGTTCTTGATAAAGAATTAGACCGAGAGGAGCAGCAGGAGTTGAAATTGTTGTTGACAGCTGTAGATGGGGGCACGCCGCAGAAATCAGGTACAGTAGTCATACACGTCACTGTACTGGATGCTAACGATAATGCCCCAGTGTTTAGCCAGGCCGTCTATAAAGCCAGTCTACCTGAAAACTCTCCTTTAGATAGTGTAGTGGTTACAGTGAGTGCTACAGATGCAGATGAGGGAGTGAATGGGGAAGTGACGTATGAATTTAGTCGAGTATCTGAAACAGCAAAGAATGTATTTACTTTGGACCAGAATACAGGAGAAATTAGAGTGACAGGAGAAATAGATTACGAAGAAGAGACAACATTTGAACTTTTTATTGAAGGGAAAGATGGCTTTGGTCTTTCCTCGGACAGTAAAGTTATTATAGATATTACAGACATAAATGACAATGCCCCTGAGCTATATCTAAAATCTCTGACTAACCCCATACCTGAGAACGCGTCACCTGGTACAGAGGTGGGCATCATTAACGTGCAGGATAGAGACTCTGAGAATAACCGACAGGTCCGCTGCTCCATTCAGCAAAACGTTCCTTTTAAGCTGGTGCCATCCATCAAAAACTACTATTCTCTGGTGACCACGGGCCAACTGGACCGTGAACTAGTGTCTGATTACAACATTACAATCACTGCTACCGACGAGGGCTCTCCACCTCTGTCCTCCTCTAAAAGTATTCAGTTATCTGTAGCTGACGTCAACGACAACCCACCTGTGTTTGAGGAACAGTCCTATCAAGCCCACGTGATTGAAAATAACAAACCCGGTGCCCCCGTGTGTTCCGTTACTGCACGTGACCCAGACTGGAGACAGAACGGAACAGTGATTTATTCTCTTTTACCTGGTGAAGTGAACGGTGTCCCGGTGTCCTCGTTTTTATCCGTTAACGGAGACACGGGGGTGATCCACTCTGTGAGGTCGTTTGATTTTGAGCAGTTCAGGAGCTTTAAAGTCCAGGTGGTGGCCAGAGACAACGGTTCTCCTCCTCTCAGCAGCAACGTCACCGTCAGTGTGTTCATAACGGATATGAATGACAACTCTCCTCAGATACTATACCCCGCCACGGAGGGGAACTCCTTCATGACCGAGCTGGTCCCCAAAGCTGCGCACGGGGCTTCTTTGGTTTCCAAGGTGATTGCAGTGGACGCGGACTCCGGCCAGAACGCCTGGCTGTCCTATCATATAGTCAAATCCACTGATTCGGGACTTTTCACTATTGGTCTCCACAGTGGAGAGATCAGGACACAACGAGACATTTCTGAATCTGACAGCATGAAACAGAACCTTATTGTGTCAGTGAAAGATAACGGACAGCCCTCTCTCTCTGCCACCTGTACCATGTATTTAGTGATTTCTGATAACTTGGCTGAAGTGCCAGAACTGAAAGATATCTCTTATGATGAGAGCAATTCCAAACTCACCTCTTATCTGATCATCGCGCTAGTGTCCGTCTCCACCTTTTTCCTCACCTTCATTATTGTCATCCTTGCCGTGAGGTTTTGCTGCAGGAGAAAGCCCAGACTGTTGTTTGACGGAGCGGTCGCCATCCCCAGCGCATATCTCCCTCCCAACTACGCAGAGGTGGATGGCGCGGGAACTCTCCGCAGTACTTACAATTATGACGCATACCTGACGACAGGCTCGCGCACAAGTGACTTCAAGTTCGTCAGATCTTACAATGACAACACGCTGCCAGCAGACCAGACTCTGAGAAAAACTCCAACAGACTTTGCTGAAGACCTTCACGGTTCCGAGGGATCCCCAGAGGTAGGCCTTTATTGTTACAGACGCGCGTTATAACTCTAGAGGCTCTGTAGCAGGTGTTTTACAACTGCAGTTCGTTTTTTTGCAAAGTAATTTTGTTCAGGATAAAAACACTATTCCCATGGGACTATCACAAGGTCTGTTTCCTGTGTCACTGTTTAAACAACTAAATGTAGCTCCAAATATGATGGCTTAGTCCTTTATGCTATCAATTCAAGACCTTAATTTCAAAGCTGACATTTTGCAGATTATAATATGCTGTTTGAATTGTGGTTCAAAACATTTTGTAGGTTAGATAAATAACTTATTCTTCGGATTTGCGTACTGCACAATTTTTATGTTACAAAACATATATTGATAGGCTGGTTCTATTTGTAGTCCGTTTGTAGGTCTACTTTGATGGCATTGAAAAAGAGAAAGAGATAGAAAGCTCTGTAGGCCTATACAATGATGGAAAAAGAAGGTGAGCGTTTCTTTGAGCAGTAGCGGAATGTCGCTGTCTGTGGTGCTGATATGTCCGTTTCTGTTGTAAAGGCGTTAGGGCTTTTTCTGAATACTTATTGTTTGTCACGAGGCTATTACTTTCCTGTTGTCAGTTCTACTCACTGTTTTTGTGAATTGTACTGATGAGGTCCAGATGACAGAATGACAGTGCAAATTTTTTTTCAAAAATGTTTCTTTGTGGTTTTATTTTTCCATGGTTTCTATTTGGTTTTTCGCTTATGCTGGGTGGCATACCTGTCTCTAATGTTTGATCAAGCATGCACACGGTTGATATGTTTTCTTGGTATTGTATTCACAATGTAGAACAGATGGCAGATGTCAGGTGATAGCGTTTTTGGAATGGTGGAGCAATTTAGACAGAAGGATGCGATGAGAAGCCTGTTTTGATAGTGTATGCATCCTTGCTGCAGTTGGCTGCCACTGTCCATGGGACTGAACACCCCTTATACATGTGAGACAGGACATAATAATTATTGTCCTTTGCTCCTTGTGATGATTTATATATGTGACATCACATGCTAACAGATGTTTAGAAATGGTTTAGCTGTATTGCACTAGTTGTACTACAGCAACATGATAACAAGGCTTTGCCCATTTCATCCTGAGATTCGACAAACGTCGCTGTCTGTGGTGCTGATATGTCCGTTTCTGTTGTAAAGGCGTTAGGGCTTTTTCTGAATAGTTATTGTTTGTCACGAGGCTATTACTTTCCTGTTGTCAGTTCTACTCACTGTTTTTGTGAATTGTACTGATGAGTTCCAGATGACAGAATGACAGTGCACATTTTTTTCAAAAACGTTTCTTTGTGGTTTTATTTTTCCATGGTTTCTATTTGGTTTTTCGCTTATGCTGGGTGGCATACCTGTCTCTAATGTTTGATCAAGCATGCATACAGTCTACCTGCAACTTTTATTGAAATGTGTTTAGCACACTATCAGATAATGCTGTCAGATAATAGTTTCGTAGGGATGCTCAAAGTGTCGCTGTTCACCAGCAAAGGAAGGGTATGTACAGTTATCCACCCCCTGGTGATTTCATTCAGAAAGTGTTGTTGCCATTTCACTGCAGAAACGAGTGGTGACGGTTTTGTATATATTTTTGTAGATATAGTTTGTTTTCATCATATTTTTGTGAAATACAATTTTCTTACGCTAATCTATATAATTATTGGGTGTTTTCTTAGTCGATTTGTATGCCAGCATGGTGCACAAATGATTCTAAATGACAGGCCTGGTCTGTGGCTTTGACATTTATTTTTTATGTCATATTTGAGATTGGGTGGAGCATATTGTGTGTGTGTTAGGGATTTCAGATTTTGGAATGCTATAGGCCTACTGTGGTTTAAATTATGTGCTGATAATTTGGATAGTTTGTAGCCTAACACAGGGCCGCAACTTTGGTTTTAGAAGTGGGGGGGACACATAAATATATTTTCTATCCAGTAGGATAAACACTCCAAACAGCCTACCCGTCCGCATGGTCCTAAAGCACACTTTTGCCTCGTTTTGTATCACATTTCAATTATAAAACTGGGGGGGACAAAGATGCAATTTCAGAGTGGGGGGGAAACCCCCCCCCCCCCCCCCCCCCCCCCCCCCCAGTGAAAGTTGCGCCCCTGGCCAAACATATTGGCTTCATCGGCTGAAACCAAATAAATATCTGGGGGAAGTATTTAAATAGGGAATGAGAAGAAAAATTAGATTTTCTATTTTATGCAGACGCATATCGCTGTCCATGGTGCTGGAGCGTGTTATGTTCTGTTATGTGCGGATTGCCGTCATGCTCGTTTATTCTGGCTATCTTGATTGGTTGTCGTTTTATATGTCTATTTCATGACCTTGGCCCGAAAGTGCGCTTTGTATTTTATCAAATAGATAATGGGCTAGTCAGTGTGTTGTCATTTAAAACATGTCATTTCTGAAGGGCACTCAAAGTGTCGCTGTTCACCAGCTGAGCAAGGATATACTCACCTCTCCACCCACTTCATGTTGACGAATACAAAGCTCTGGGTTGCTCACTGCGCTGCAGAAAACCGTGGGAGTCATCCGTTTGTTAGTGTTTTCTCCGCTTGATTGGAATTACATTCGATTGAAAACTATATCATTATTTTTAATATTTGCATATAGTGATACACATAACTGCAGTCTGATTTCTCCACCGTTCTTATCTAAGGATGGAGCACAAAGGATTTTCTGCGACAGGCCTAGTCTGCAGCTTTGCTTTCTTTCATCTCACGCTGCACTCCGCCTATGGAGACCTGAGCTTTTCTTTTCCGGAGGAGATGAAACGCGGATTTGTGATTGGAAATATAGCCAAGGATCTCGGGCTGGAGGCGAACAGACTGTCCACTCGTAAGGCCCGTATTGATACAGAAGGGAACCAAAAACGGTATTGTGACATTAATCTGAGTACCGGGGATTTGATTGTTGCTGAAAGGATTGACAGAGAGGGGCTTTGTGGCAAGAAGGCTTCGTGCGTTTTAAAACAGGAACTTGTATTGGAGAATCCTTTGGAGCTACAACATATTAGTCTTCACGTTCAAGATATTAATGACAACTCTCCACAATTTAACGAGGAGATGATAGATATGGAAATATTGGAATCGGCAGCTAAAGGCACTCGTTTCTCATTGGAGGAGGCTCATGACGCGGATATAGGACAGAACTCAGTTCAAAGATACACACTAGAAAGGAATGACAATTTCGTTTTGATTGTTGATAGTAATACTGTAGAGCTTGTTCTAGAGAAAGAGCTTGATCGAGAAAAAAAGCAGGATCTTAAAATAATGCTAACAGCGAAGGACGGAGGCACTCCGCAGAAATCAGGTACTGTAGTCATACACGTCACTATACTGGATGCTAACGATAATGCCCCAGTGTTTAGCCAGGCCGTCTATAAAGCCAGTCTGCCTGAAAACTCACCGTTAGATACTGTAGTGGTTACAGTGAGTGCTACAGATGCAGATGAGGGAGTGAATGGGGAAGTGACATATGACTTCGGTCATGTTTCAGAAGAAGTGAAGATTTTTTATTCTATCGTCCGTAAAACAGGAGATATAAGAGTTATTGGCACTATAGATTTTGAAGAAGTTTCATCATTTGAATTGCGCATCAAAGCAAAGGATGGTTTAGGGTTAGCATCATATGCTAAAGTCATAATAGACATCACAGATGTAAATGACAATGCTCCTGTGATATATCTAAAATCTCTGACTAACCCCATGCCTGAGAACGCGTCACCTGGTACAGAGGTGGGCATCATTAACGTCCAGGATCGAGACTCTGGGAATAACCGACAGGTCCGCTGCTCCATTCAGCAAAACGTTCCTTTTAAGCTGGTGCCATCCATCAAAAACTACTATTCTCTGGTGACCACGGGCGAACTGGACCGGGAACTAGTGTCTGATTACAACATTACAATCACTGCCACTGACGAGGGCTCTCCGCCTCTGTCCTCCTTTAAAAGTATTCAGTTATCTGTAGCTGACGTCAACGACAACCCACCTTTGTTTGAGGAACAGTCCTATAGTGCCCACGTGACTGAAAATAACAGACCTGGCTCTTCCCTGTGTTCCGTTACTGCCCGAGACCCAGATTGGAGACAGAACGGAACAGTGATTTATTCTCTTTTACCTGGTGAGGTGAACGGTGTCCCGGTGTCCTCGTTTTTATCCGTTAACGGAGACACTGGGGTGATCCTCGCTGTGAGGTCGTTTGATTATGAGCAGTTCAGGAGCTTTAAAGTCCACGTGGCGGCCAGAGACAACGGTTCTCCTCCTCTCAGCAGCAACGTCACCGTTAGTGTGTTCATAACGGATGTGAATGACAACTCTCCTCAGATACTATACCCCGCCCCGGAGGGGAACTCCTTCATGACCGAGCTGGTCCCCAAAGCGGCGCACGGAGGCTCTCTGGTTTCCAAGGTGATTGCGGTGGATGCGGACTCCGGCCAGAACGCCTGGCTGTCCTATCATATAGTCAAATCCACTGATCCGGGACTTTTCACTATTGGTCTTCATAGTGGAGAGATCAGGACACAGCGGGACATTTCTGAATCTGACAGCATGAAACAGAACCTTATTGTGTCAGTGAAAGATAATGGACAGCCCTCTCTCTCTGCCAGCTGTACCATGTATTTAGTGATTTCTGATAACTTGGCTGAAGTGCCAGAACTGAAAGATATCTCTTATGATGAGAGCAATTCCAAACTCACCTCTTATCTGATCATCGCGCTGGTGTCCGTCTCCACCTTTTTCCTTACCTTCATTATTGTCATCCTGGCCATGAGATTTTGCCTGAGGAGAAAGCCCAGACTGTTGTTTGATGGAGCGGTCGCCATCCCCAGCGCGTTTCTCCCTCCCAACTACGCAGAGGTGGATGGCGCGGGAACTCTCCGCAGTACTTACAATTATGACGCATACCTGACGACGGGTTCGCGCACAAGTGACTTCAAGTTCCTCACATCTTACAATGACAACACACTGCCCGCTGACCAGACTCTGAGAAAAACTCCAAATGACTTTGCTGAAGAACTTGATGGCTCCGAGGGGTCCCCAGAGGTAAGCGGTTTTAGTGTTACACGGTTGATATGTTTTCTTGGTATTGTATTCACAATGTAGAACAGATGGCAGATGTCAGGTGATAGCGTTTTTGGAATGGTGGAGCAATTTAGACAGAAGGATGCGATGAGAAGCCTGTTTTGATAGTGTATGCATCCTTGCTGCAGTTGGCTGCCACTGTCCATGGGACTGAACACCCCTTATACATGTGAGACAGGACATAATAATTATTTTCCTTTGCTCCTTGTGATGATTTATATATGTGACATCACATGCTAACAGATGTTTAGAAATGGTTTAGCTGTATTGCACTAGTTGTACTACAGCAACATGATAAGAAGGCTTTGCCTGTTTCATCCTGAGATTCAACAAACCTAATGAGAAAGTTTGTCTTGCGAATATTTATGTGAACATGTCTGTTGTTGAAGTGACATTATAGACTTTTCCAACCACTTGTTGACAACCTTTATTCTTAAATTACTTTCACATTCTCTTAGAACACAGTAATCAGAGGACTATAGCCTATACCCATCAGTAACATACATACATGATAGACATTTCTAATGCAATGTCTTTTGTAAATCAATTTATATGTTTTGTATATGGCTTAATACAATCTAATGTTCTCCCTCAGAGAGAGAGAGAGAGAGAGAGAGAGAGAGAGAGAGAGAGAGAGAGAGAGAGAGAGAGAGAGAGAGAGAGAGAGAGAGAGAGAGAGAGAGAGAGGAGAGCGAGAGAGAGAGAGAGAGAGAGAGAGAGAGAGAGAGAGATAGAAGAGATATAGCTAGAGAGATACGAGCGAAGAGCAAATATTCTAGATCTAGATCGATATTATAGATAGCTAGAGATAGAATAGTGGAGCTATCTAGCTATATAGATAGCTATGAGATACAGCTCTAGACTACGAGATAGAGCAGATCTCTATCCTATAGATATCTATCGAGGGAGAGAGAGAGAGAGAGAGAGAGAGAGACACCTAGACCTCTAGACCTAGACCTAGCGGTAGTAAGTGCGCTCGATTGAGGCGGTAGGAGAGAAATCCAAACTGACATGAGCAGGCTCCCGAGCAGGGCATACTCTACTCTCGAGATGCAGAGTAAAAGAGCGTTACTGCATTGCTTTGATATTCGTTTTTATTTTATGTAATGCAAGATATATATATACTTTTTTTATATCAACAAAGGATGTAAAAAAGTGCTTAAAACTGAGTTACGGATGCATTTTTGGGTGATTACCCTTCTCTTTGGCGCGTCGTTTGGATAGGTGCGCTACTCCGTACCAGAGGAGATGGAGCGCTGCTCGGTCATTGGGAACGTGGCTAAGGATCTGAGGCCTGGGAGACCCAGGCAGATACACTCTTACCATCAGTGGGTTTGACGGTTGTAATCCTGCCAGGTCAGGCACAGCGTCTATTCAAATCCATGTTCTGGATGCCAATGACAATGTCCCTGTTTTCAGCAAGAGGATTTACAAGGCCTCTGTGTTAGATAACTCTGCCATGGGCGTTTTGGTGGCAACACTGAACACCACAGATTTAGATGATGGTGTATATGGGGAGATAACATACTCTTTCAGACATGTCTGACAAAACTAGAGGGGTCCTTGAAATTGACCCAGTGAGCAGTGAAGTGGACTATGAGGAGGCATGAGCTAGAGATGATGGGGGTCAGCCGTCACTCTGTAAACTCATAATTGAAGTGATTGATGTGAATGACAATGAGCCGGTGATAGCCGTGATCTGCCTCTGCTATGGTGGCCGAGGATTCTAAACCCGGTACCATGGTTGCTTTGCTAAACGTGTATGACCTGGACACTGGAAATAGCGGCCGGGTCAAGTGTGCCATCTCAGACAGTGTTCCTTTTAAATTGATATCAGAGGTTAAGAATTACTACATGTTCGTGACTGACGGTATATTAGACAGAGAGATGAACCCACATTATAACATCATGGTGACAGCTGGTGACTGGTTCTCCCTCACTATCCAGTAGAAAGTTAATATCCATCACAGTGGATGACGTGAATGACAATCCCCCTACTTTTACACAGAGCTAGTACACCGCTAAAGTTTGGTAAAACCAACGCAGAGGCACATTAGTGATAAGGGTGAGAGCCGAGGATCTAGACGCAGGATCCAATGCTTCCCTCTCCATCAACGCAGAGACCGGAGAGCTCTTCACCTCGCGCCCCTTTGATTACGAGCAGGCCAGTCACTATCAGGTGGGAGTCACAGCTCAAGACGGTGGTACCCCTCCTCTCTCCAGTATCTGCACCATGAGGGTGTTCATCGGTGACCATAGTGACAACACACCCATTGTTCTTTATCCTGTCCAATCATATGGCACCTAAAGGCTACCTGGTTACCAAAGTGGTTGCCGTGGACGCTGACTCCGGCCATAATGTGTGGCTCTCCTACCATTTGGTCAAAGCGTTGCAGCCCAACCTTTTCACTATTGGCCTGCACAGTGGAGAAATCAGGACTGTGAGGCCGTTTGAAGAGCAGGACTAGCCTAAACAAACCCTTGTGATCATGGTAAGAGACAACGGGCCTGAGTCCCTCTCAGCCACTGCCACAGTCAATGTAGTTGTTGGCGACTGCGTGCCTGTTTTAAACAGGCACTATGAGTTCACGAATGATGAATCACAGGCGAGCTATAACTTAACGCTTTATTTGATAACACCCTGGTGACCGTGTCTTCTCTCCTACTCATTATGAACAGCGCAGTCGTGTACTTCCAGATGTGTAGACGCGGGTTCATGTACCGCGCGTCCAGCCTCCCTGTCTTCCCCACGGCCTACGACCCTCCTGAAAGATGACCTATTCAACTATTTTCTGACCACTGGCTCGTGGAAGTTGGACCGTTTTGGGTCTTCCATAGACACTGACACATTGAGGAAAGCAGCATGGCCTATCAAAAATGCTCAGTCAGACGCACAAGCGCAGCTAGTCTCAAGGTGAGCCTTGGGGAATGAACTTCTGATGACGTACTTCATTAAGTATCAAATATTGCAAAGCACATAGCGTGGGTCAATTTCTCATTGATCATTAAAAGGATGAAAAGTTAGTCAATAGCCTTAGACATCCATGCTATATCCAACATGGTCCACATCTAATGTGTCTTTTCAGTGTCGCACAACTCTATTTTAATTATTGATTCGGATTTGTGAGGAGTAAACCTGGTGTTGTCTCTTTCTCCCTTCTCTCTCTCTCTCTCTCTCTCTCTCTCTCTCTCTCTCGCTCGCTCTCGCTCTCGCTCTCGCTCTCGCTCTCTCAATTCAATTCAATTCAATTCAATTCAATTTGCTTTATTGGCTTGACGTAACAATGTACATATTGCCAAAGCATACTTTGGAGATGTACAATATTAACATAATTTTAATAATAATAATCAAAATTGTCAACGGGACAACAGTAACAACAATAACCAAGGGTCAAAATAACCATACATTGAACAATAACAATAACAATGGCATAGAGGACATGTGCAGGTTGGTTGGTCTGTCAGACACTGTCCCTCATCTTATGGCAGGCAGCAATGTAGTGCACTGCCAACCCACAGTTCTCTGCGTCCTCCCCCAACAGGATGGGTAGCCTATTCTCATCAGAGAGGTCTTTGAAACCTTGAATAAGAGTTTCAAATTTGCGGAAATTACACTCTCTAATAGTTTTTTATTTTTTACATTTTGTCAGGAAATGCAGCTCTGTCTCTGGTTCTGCTGTGGTGCAGTGGTTGCACAGCCTTTCCTCTACAGGGAGTCAGGTTTTCCTGTGTCTACCTTTCTCAATGGCAAGTCTGTGCTCACTGAGCCTGTACTTTGTCAAGGTTTTTCAAAGGTTTTGATCAATAACCATGGTCAAATACTTTGCCACGGTGTACTGTCGATTTAGGGCCAGATAGCACTGCATTTTGCTTTGTGCTTGTGCTTCCCAATAAGTGATGCAGTTTTGTTTTGACTGTGTAGTAATTTGGTTTATTCTGATTGATTGGATGTTCTGGTCCTGAGGCTTCAGTGTGTTAGTAGAACAGGTTTGTGAACTCAGCCCCAGGACCAGCTGGATGAGGGGACTATTTTCTTTGCTCAGCTCTTGGCATTGCAGGGCTTGGTAATGTTATGAGAGGTGGTCACTGTATAATTGAGATGTTTCCAAAACGTAATTGCTATTCTTTTCATTTGTATTATTAGCGGATATTGGCCTAATTATGCCCTGCATGCATTGTTTGTAGTTTTCCTCTGGACATGTAGGAGAATCTTACAGAACTCTGCATGCAGGGTTTCAATGGGGTGTTTGTCCCATTGGGTGAAATCTTGTTTTGTAAGTGGACCCCACACCTCGCTGCCATAAAGTGCTATTGGTTCAATTACTAATTCAATTTGTTTTAGCCACATTTTAATAGGTATTTCAATTTGAATGTGTTTTTTAATGGCGTAGAATGCCCTACATACTTTCTCTCTGTCACGCCCTGACATAGAGATCTCTAGTTGGTTTGGTCAGGGTGTGTATATATATGGGTGTGAATATCTAGTATGTGTATTTCTATGTTGGCCGGGTGTGGTTCCCAATCAGAGGCAGCTGTCGATCGTTGTCTCTGATTGGGGATGATACTTAGGTAGCCATTTTGCCTACCTATGTTGTGGGATCTTGTTTCTGTTTGGCTTGTTGGATGTTTAGCCTTTTGAACTTCACGTTCTGTTGGATTTGGTATTTTGTCGGTGTTTATATAATAAACTACTATGTACGCATATCACGCTGCACCTTGGTCTGATCCTTTACACGACGAACGTGACACTCTCTCAGTTCATTCACTGTCTCATTTAGGTGTCCATTTGAGCTTATTTTTAAACCTAAGTAATTGTAGTGTGTGCAGTACTCTATATATTTTGTACCAATGGAGAACATTAGTCTAATTCCCTGAGATCTGGATCTTCTCTGGAAAATCATTATTTTAGTCTTTTTGGGGTTTACTGCCAGGGCCCTGGTGAAGAATTCTGTTATTTTCTTGCCAATTTTGATGCTGCACGTATTGCCAGTATGCATTGATTTAATTATGTCATATGTTTTCCCCCTACACCACTTTCAATAACTTTGTAGAACAGTCCTGTATGCCAAATAGAATCAAATGCTTTTTGGAAGTTGATAAAGCAAGCGTACATTTTGATATTATTTTGGTGGACATGTTTATCTATCAGGGTGTGTAGGGTGTAGATATGGTCGGTCATGCAATGTTTTGGTATAAATCCAATTAGGCTTTTACTCAAGACATTGTGCTTATTAAGGAAGTTTAGAACTCTTACATTTATAATACTACAGAAAACCTTCCCCAGGTTACTGTTCACACAAATGCCTCTGGAATTGTTAGGGTCAAATTTGTCTCCGTTCTTAAAGATTGGGGTTATGAGTCCTTAATTCCAGATGTCAGGGAAATAACCTACACTCAGAATCATATTAAACTGTTTTAATATAGCCAATTGAAATTTTGCACTAGTGAATCTCATTTAGGATGCCATCAGGTCCGCATGCTTTTTTAAATTTGAGGTCCTGAAGTTTCTTATAGAGCTCCTGGTCAGTACTTGTGGAGTCCAACGGATTTTGATTGTCCTTTGTAGCTTTTTCTAATCCATTCAACTTCTCATGAATTTAGCATTGTTCTGCGTTTGCATCAATTTGAACGGTGTTATAGAGTGTTTTAAAATGGGTTGTCAATATGTCACAATTTTGTATTGCTAATTTCTCTAGTTGCGATTTTTTTTTAGGTTTTTCCAATTTTGCAAGAAAGTTGTTTGTGTTCATGAACTCCTCAATTAGTGTCAGCTGCTTGCTGTTGTACTGTGCTTTTTTTGGTTCTGAGTGTACGTTTATAGAGTTTTAAAGTCTCACAGTAATGAAGGCGTAATTCACCATTATTTGGGTCTCTGTGTTTTTGGTTTGATAGTGTTCTATGTTTTTTCCTTATAATTATACAATCTTCATCAAACCAATTGACATCTGTAGTCTTTTTTGGTATGTTTTTTATCAATTTCAGTTTTACTTCATTTGCCGTTTGCCTGAATATATGGTTGATGTTTTTTACTGCTAGATTGATGCCTTCTTTACTGTGAGTGAATGTGGTATCCAGAAAGATATCTAAGAGTGTTTGGATTTTTTGGTTACTGGTTGCTTTCTGGTATTCTTCTGTGCTGTTTTGGGCCCATCTGTATGAATTTCTGATGTTGTACAGCTTACTGGGCTGTGAATGTGTGGTTGTTTCCATGTCTGTTCTTTTGAGGAACAACATCCTTTGGCTGTGATCAGACAGAGGTGTTAGTGGCTTGACGGTGAATGAGCTGCGAGAGAAAGGGTCAATGTCTGTAATCATTTCACTGTAATGTCTGCACCTGTTGTATTCGGCGCATGTGACCAATAAAATTTGATTTGATTTTGATTTGATATAGTCTACTGTGCTGTGGCCAAGAGGTGAGCAATAGGTGAATCTCCCCAAAGAGTCCCTCTGTAAACTACCATTGACAAAATACAGACCAAGGCATCGACATAACTGCAACAGATCCCTTCCATTTTTGTCGATGGTGCTGTCACTGTTGTTTTTATGGTGATGATTAAGGTAGTTAGAAACAGTTTGGCCTGTAATAAAGCTGTCCCCTCGTGTGGTCGTTAGATCAGGTAGTGTTCCCTGGGCCTGGAAATGGCACGTCTCTTCCTCAAGGGTGGGGAATATCTCCTCTGAGTAATATGGGGCTTCTGGGGGGGGATATATATTGCGCAAAGGAACACATCATTTTCTGTCAGTACAAGTAATTTTTTCAGTTTTAACCAAATGTGATAGATTTTGTTGTTCGGATTTGTACCAAATAATCAATCCTCCAGAGTCTCTGCCTCTATTGACAGAGCTGTGTTTCTGTGACGGCACAATTACCTCTCTGTAGCCTGTGGGACAGAGAGTGACAATGTCTGCCTTACACCATGTCTCCTGCAGAATGATGACGTGAAGATCTTTACGATTTTGTTTTCACTTCATTGCTAAACTCTTCAGTCCAAAGGTTGATGAGTTTAGGCCCTGAATGTTCCACATGGTAACTGATAGCAATTTCATGTTGCAAAAAGAAAGAAAATCACAGTCAGAAATACAGTAACTACATTTTACATTTACATTTACGTCATTTAGCAGACGCTCTTATCCAGAGCGACTTACAAATTGGTGCATTCACCTTATAGCCAGTGGGATAACCACTTTACAATGGTAGAAGGATTATTTTATCCTATCCCAGGTATTCCTTAAAGAGGTGGGGTTTCAAATGTCTCCGGAAGGTGGTGAGTGACTCCGCTGTCCTGGTGTCGTGAGGGAGCTTGTTCCACCATTGGGGTGCCAGAGCAGCGAACAGTTTTGACAGGGCTGAGTGGGAACTGTGCTTCCGCAGAGGTAGGGGAGCCAGCAGGCCAGAGGTGGATGAACGCAATGCCCTCGTTTGGGTGTAGGGACTGATCAGAGCCTGAAGGTACGGAGGTGCCGTTCCCCTCACAGCTCCGTAGGCAAGCACCATGGTCTTGTAGCAGATGCGAGCTTCAACTGGAAGCCAGTGGAGTGTGCGGAGGAGCGGGTTGACGTGAGAGAACTTGGTAAGGTTGAACACCAGACGGGCTGCGGCATTCTGGATGAGTTGTAGGGGTTTAAGGGCACAGGCAGGGAGCCCAGCCAACAGCGAGTTGCAGTAATCCAGACGGGAGATGACAAGTGCCTGGATTAGGACCTGTGCCGCTTCCTGTGTAAGGCAGGGTCGTACTCTCCAAATGTTGTAGAGCATGAACCTACAGGATCGGGTCA